ATTTAAAGCTTAAAGATTACAAAAACAAGCAAGGGGGTTGCAAGGAAGCCATAAAGCACATCATTATCTTTAAAAATTGCATAGGCATGTCATTGGGAAGGGATACATCATAACATGTCATTGGGAAGGGATACATCACTCTTGACAAGAACATTGAGTACAGTTTCTATCACAGATGCACACATTCTCATATGCCAGCCCACCACCCATGTCTTCATATGAAGGTTCAACTTCTGCATACTCAGGTTCACTATCAGATTCAGCTCCCATGCCCATTCCTACAGTACAAACATCTTTTCAATCTCCTATTTCCGCAAAAGACTTTCTTGGGTTGCTATTCTATGCACAGCCTCCTTAGCCAGTTCCTCCTCCTTTTTCCACAATCCAACGGCGCCTGCAAACAGTACCTCTTCTTTATGCTTATTCCTCCATCTTGGTCACTGGTGAAATTGACCAGGTTGGATAAACTTGGTCAGTTTCAGGAGGAAGTTTTCTTTCTCATCAGAAGGAGAGGTGCACGTCCTTGACCAGTGTTTCTCAACCTCAGCCACTTTAAGAAGTGCAGACTTCGACTCCCAGAACTCCCCAGGCAGCGTGGCTGGCTGGGGAATTCTGGGAGTCAAAGTCCGCACATCTTAAAGTTGATGAGGTTGAGAAACACAGGTCTAGATAAGTGGAGGAGGAAGAGGAAAGGCATAGATGACAATGAGCAAACCTTTGTTCTACCATGTCGGCAGGGATGCTAGAAATGGACTTTAGCAGGATTTGCACACCCATGTTCTTATGGCAGACAGTAAAGGCAGGCTCATCTGGGTGTGCCAGTCCCGCTTAAAGCGCATATTCCCAAGCACAGCTAGGAGGACATTTGCCCTTAAAAATAAAAATCATGGAATGTTTTTGATTTGCTTAGCTTTGACTTATTCTGGTTTGGGGGCGATTTTTTCTGACTTGCTGCGAAGGGGAATAGGAGAGCAGCGTTTCTCAACCTCGGCCCCTTTAAGATGGGGGGACTTCAACTCCCAGAATTCTGGCTGGGGGAATTCTGGGAGTTGAAGTCCGCCCATCTTAAAGGGCCAAGCTTGAGAAACGCCGACCGTGAGAGAAGACGCCTGTCCCGCAGCCACGCCTTGCTGCGGGGAAGGTGGATTGTGGCGGAGAGGAGAGGGAGGGCAAAGCCTTTCATTGCACGGGGCTCAACTTTTGCACTCTCACGTGCAAGGATTCTTGCTTGCACCGAACCTCTCTTTCTACAGTCCGGGATTGCCCGGCTGTGAAAACTGTCCGGACGCGGGGCCGGTAGCAGGTGGGGCGCGGCGACTCTGACCTTTCCTAGCTCTACCCACCTTGGTCGTGGCTCTACGGCTCAGTCGGCCGTCGAGTTGGCAGCCCTTCCGGCGCGTCTGTCACCGGGTCAAAGGGCGCGCCGGCTTCCGCTTCGCTCACTCTTTCGGGCCGCTCGAGCCGTCTCCGGGGCGACGTGGGGCCGAGTCGGGCTCCCCTCGGATTGTGAGGTGGGTCCTTGCGGGGAAGCGAAGCGCCTGCTGGGCGGGGGGTCGGGCGAAGGGCGGCTTGGACGGCGGGGACCCCCCTTTCCCCGCCCCGGCTTTGTTACTGCCTTACAGCCGCCTGGGCTGTTTGGACACCCACGCCCATTATCCCCAGCCGGCTGGCTGAGGGCGTGGGAGCCGAGCTCTAGCTCAGCCGGGGTCGGTGAAAGCTTTCATGCGGGCGGCTCTGCTGGAGAGTGGCGTGGCCGGCGGGGGTGCGAATGCGGCGGGGGGACGTCGCGGCCTCTCGATTTGGCTTCGGGGTCTGAGCAGGGCCTGAACGCGCGTGCGGGGGGCCCGTTAACTTTCGCCGTACAATGGTACCACTTCGGGCGCGGTCTTTCGGGTGCATGGGAGAGCCATGGAAGTCGAAGGGTCTCTTTAGGATGAATTCACACGTGCAGTTTGATTTTGGGTGTTTTTATTGGAATATGCGCTTTTGTAAAGTTTTTCTGGGTTGTGCTCTTGAATTTTGCTCTGTAAAGCGAAGTTATAAACAATTTTTTTTAATCCTTACGACCCTCTTTCAGATTTGCCCCTTTTTCGGGTTTGTCCTTTATTTTTTCCCCAAAAATATGGCCACTGTACACACAACCAGCTTAATGAATCAATCAGGAAATGTGACGTTGAAGCCATGGACAAGGGTGCCTTGAGTTAAAAGGTTTGGAAGGGAGGCCTTTTGGCGTGGAAAAGTACCTTCCCTCATCCATGCTTAGAGTTGGATTATCGTGCAGGGGAATGGAAGTCAAACAGATCAGGCACCTTGTCCTTCAGGCTTGTAGCGCCAGCTCTGACTCACCTCAGCTTCCTATTGTTCTGGGCAGAATGAATCAGCTGCTTTAATATCAGGCTTAGTTGCAGCGTAATTTCAACCTTAATTCAGAGGGCAGTCATGCACCCCAAGCTCTCAGAAGTAACCCTTCCTAAGTCTCATGGGTACTCAAGTAAGTTTGTTTAGAGCTGAATCTATGCACTAAACAAGGACTCTTGTGGCATCTTTTAAAGAATGAGAGATGTTGTTATTAGATTTTTATCCTGTGTGTGTTTGTGTACACACACACACCCACTCACACACACGCATACATACATATGTAATACTCCTGCCTCCTATTCTCCTTTTATTTATTGATTGATTAGAAGTTGTTTCAACAGCTAGACAAAGAAGCATAGCCTTCAAATGATAACGATATTAGGAAAGATTGATAGGCTGTTCTACCTTGTTTCCCCAGGTAGCTACCAGTAACGCTAATAAAATAACAAAAAATAATACAATATTTTCTACTAATCAAAGGATGCAGCGTTATGAGTTATTATGGCAGAGGTTTCATGATATTTTACAGTAATAGTTTGTACTGATTATGTAATAGTAATATTTATTAGTAAAACAGTGACTGTTGAGAAGCATAAAATATAAAGTAGATTTTTTTCTCTTTTTTGTTTATTTGGGGTTGTCTCTTCTCTATTTTTGGTTTGTTTGGGGTTATCTCTTTTCTAATTTAATTTTTTGCTAAGTTTAAATATTACTTAACTGTGTATGTTAAGAATGTTAAATAGAAAAATATTTGTAAAAGAAAAAAAATACAATAGAAACAAATAGTCCGAACCATGTGAGTGTCAGGTCAGGTTAGAATAATTGTCTAAGGGTTTTAAACATTGAAATGGGCTTAGAAGGGGAGTGATTTGAGACCTAAGCCTTCCCAATATGAAACAGCTTAAAAGAATCACCACTTATCTCTGGAAAGATGAGGATTCAAACAAGGACCTATGAGGGTGATCTTTGTATTTGTCAGTTGATAAGCCTAAGTATATGGAGCAAAACATTGTAAAGAATGGAGCTGAAGGCTATGAAATGCAGGCAAGAGAATAAGTCTGATAATTCTCTTCAGAATTATATACCATACCTCTTATCAGAATTGTATACCAAATGGGCATACAAATGACGGTGATAACAGCAAAAGTTGGTGCTGTGTACATCTTAGATACATTTCAGTTTTCTGTAGAAATGCTACAGATTGCATTTCTTTCATTTCAACTTCTTTGCTTACTCTGCATAATCTTTCCAGTTGAGGTTAGCTCTCAAGCACATATTGAGGTAGCATTCTAGTCTATTAAAGCTTGTGGTATTAAAAATAAATTGGTGTTAAATATGTGTTAGGCTTCCTCTGCTTTTTAGTTTTAGGATATTGAGACGTTAAGAGGCAAAAAGAGGGCTGTAGTGACAAGAGTGTCTCCTTTTCCTACTGGGATCAGTTTTTGGAAATGTAGCTTGAGAAAGCAAACTTATTTTTTGGGTGTTTTGAAATAAGTATCACATTCTCCACAAGCTGGTCCTCTTCCAACTTTGTAGTCTGGTATATGATACCCTGACCCCCACATCTGTCTGGAAAAATATAAGTATTATCTGGGACTTAAACAGTACCAAGATACAAAGAGATTGGTCCTATATATGTTTACTCTGAAATAATCCCCACAATATTCACACTGGCTTAACCCCTTTTTAAACGTGCATAAGATTGTAGTCTTAATTTCTTGTCATAGTAAAATTTCAGACATTTTAATTTTTTTTCTCTAAAAGCTTGGAGACAACAATGGGTTGCACACATGAACTAAAATATTTTATAGGTTAAAGTGTACAGTATATATGGCTGCATTTATTAAAAACTAAGATGAAATAGGAAATGTGGTTGAGTAAATGTATAAAAATTATTTGAATTTGGTGCTCTGTCCTTATTTGAAATAATTGATAAATAATTGTAGAAGCATCTCTTTTAGAATGCACGAGCTTCTATTTTACTGAACATCTTTCAATTATGAGAGTTTGTCCATTTATCTACATAGATATGTATGTAGTATTTTTCATATGTATGTAATATTTTTCTAAGCTGTGGCTATAATCTTATATGTACATCTAGATAAACCTTCAGGTAAATAAGCATATAACATTTAATAGAAGCATTTGTTTTTCTAGCCCTTGTTTACTGTTGTACAAAGTGTTCATGTACAGGGCTGATAGATATCTGGTTAGGAATTCATGTGGGCATTTATCCTTGTATTTTACTTCTTTACTGATTTGGGTGGGTGGTTTTTTTTCTCTGCTCAGGTTATCAAGGAGGGTTGAACAGATAAAAAGATGAAGCTTTACAGTCTAAGTGTTCTTTACAAAGGCGATCCCAAAGTGCACTTACTGAAAGCTGCATATGATGTGTCATCATTTAGTTTCTTCCAGAGATCCAGGTAGGTCTTCACTGCATTTCAAGGCCAGTTAGCTTTCTCCCCCTGATGCTTTCCTGTAAGCCCATTGTGATATTTCCCTTGGATTTGTTGCATTGAATTCAAGATATAATACTTTTTTTCTGATGTAACTTCTAAATCCAGGCAGTGAAAAAGAACTGATAAAATGATAGACCTCACGTTTATGCTTTTGTTTCTAAAGAGCATCATCTCAGTACGAATTCTATTAAGGTTTAAAACTGTTTGCCAGCTGGGGTAATCTGATGCATTCATTTGTCCCTGTACCTGCAAGCAGAATAGTAGCTGTTTTGAGTTTACTTATGCTGTATCTGTTGATTCTAAATATACACAGCTAAATATAGTTTTGAATTTGACCTTTGAATGTTGGGTCCATCTTGCTGCAAAATGATATTGTAAAATAGAACTACTAGAGCTTGAACAGAAAACAATATCAGTTTATCAGAATTCATTTCCTCATTGCATACTATCTTTCTGAAGTTACTTGAACTCTTATTGCACTGCAGCTTAGGTCAAATTTACTCACAAAAATAATACATAGACTTGAATTCCTACTTGAATTGATTAATTCTTTGCACTCATTAACCCTTATTTTACTGCTATGGATTTGTATGCTGCTCTTTTTGTTATTTGTGTGCTGCTTTTGAAGAATTGTCTCTCTTTTTTAAAAATGAAAACCTTGAACTTTTACAATGTAATTATTTTCTTATGCTGCTGCTACTAATAAAATTTGGTTTCTTTATTGTGCCTTCCAATTGCATTTGAATGTAGAAGTTTTAGTAACGAATTGTGAGACATGTTTTATTTATTTATTTAACTTTCAGCATTCAAGAATTTATGACTTTCACAAGCCAACTGATAGTAGAGCGTTCAGAGCCTGGAAGCAGAGCTTCTGTAAAGGAACAGGGTAAGAGTGCACAATGTTTGCCTTAGAGAGAACTACAGCAAACAAGGGTATATATCTGCAAATATTACTAAGTGTGGAGCTTGACATTGAGAATAATGTCTGTAAGGAAGATGTACATAACAACTGCTCTCTAAGAAGAAAAAAGCATGTTGGATTTTATCAAAGGGAATGTTTTGGTTGGTTTCTCTAGGTCAGTCTGAATTAAACTAAAATAATTCAATTTCTTAGGAATTTAGTGAATATGAAATTAGCATCAGGCAAGTTGGCCATTGCTATCAAAGCTGGATGACAGCAGCATCACAGGATCCTTTGTGGGTGGTGATACAGTAAAAAAGATTCCTTGTAAAACTGCTCTTCTTGGTTAAAAAGTACATCGTGCACTGATAATAGTCTGAGTAAGAATTACTTCATCCAAGCCATATTACATATACTGATTTTTGTAAGGCAAAACTTGTAATAACAGAAAATGCATGGTGTATAGAGTTCAGTCCTGTTAAATTTTATCAAAAGCTTTAAAAACAAAGGTAAAAACTAATATAAATTTTACTCTGTTGGATTTATCTTGCCCAACTTACTAAATAAACTATTTGAAGTCTTGCTCTATGTTTTCCACATTCAGCTATAATCTTTCTGTCTTTTTGTGCTATATTATTCTTGAGGTTTTTTTTTTTAACATGAGCATTCATATACTCATGTTCCTTGTATGTGCCTTTTTTTAAATATATTGAAATTAAATATAATTTCAAATCAGAACAAATTGGAATGTGACACAAGCAAGATTCCTATTCCTTCTGTTTGGAAGCTGGATTTTTTTCCCCCCCAAAATGAATCTTATGTACAGATTGGGAGTTAAAGAGTTCGGCCAACCTGTATCTAAAATGAACAAACGGACTGATGAGTTGGGAGTATCTGCAAAATCTGTGGTTCTATTTCACAAACACTAAGGAATTTATGTAGGACAAATATACATCATTCATGTTATTCTTTATTTCAGAATATCTCTGCCATGTTTATGTACGGAATGATGGTTTGGCTGGAGTGGTAATTGCAGATAATGAATATCCGTCCCGGGTTTGTTTCACTTTGTTGGATAAGGTAAGTACCAGCTTGTGCAGGGAGGATTTATATGTCTGCAGATGGGCTGCAAGAGAGCATATAGTAGATACTCTGACATGTTTTCAGAGGTAAACAGCTGCATTGCTTGTCGGTAGGGCATTGACACAATTTATACATCACATTAAACCAATTTGCACTGATCATAGTTTAAAATCCAAGCCTAGCCTAGAACAAAATATCATTTAGAATTGATAAACATGGTCAGGAAGATGCATATTTGGGGGATGATCTTGAAAAACCAGGGAATGAAATATACCCAAATGTCTGGCAGCAGCAACAGTGTTATTTACAAAGCGATGCCCCCGTTGGTAACTACCACATGCACACACTCAGGATGTCCCTCAGTGATGTTGCAGCGAAGGTTCAGTATTGCGTGCTGAGGGTTACTTTCAGTGATATGAAGAAAATTTAAAGTACTGTGGCAAAGGAGATAGGCAGCTGGACCTCTTGTAGAGTAGTGTTTCCCTACCTGGGCAACTTTAAGTTGTGTTGACTTCAACTCCCAGAGTTCTTAGTAATGGCTATGCTGGTTGGGGAATTCTGGGACTTTAAGCTCACACACCTCCATGATGCACCCAGCATTTTGAGGTTTTTACCCAACAAAAGCATTAAAGTAACTTGAGAACAGAAAGTCTGCTGAAACAGCACAAAACCCAGACCCAGAGAGGGAACATTAAGTGTCTTGGAATGCTTTTGGTAACTTGAAGTCCAGTAACTGTACTTAAAATGCATTCAGAAATTTAGTCCTGTTACCTGTGGTCTGAATTGGGTTTAAAGAAAATCTTACATGTGGATTATCTCACCAGCATCAGGTTATCTGGGTCATCACCATCTGTAAGTGAATACTGTTAATATTATAATTGTAACTGTTTATGCTTTCCACTTTTCATTTCTTATAGTCCCTCCCCCCAGTATAATTCTAGAATTTATACAATATTTGTCTTATAAGCTCACTTTAATTACCTGCAGGAGTTCCCCATCTAGACTGATTATTCCAATACACTGTCTGAGCTTCAAGAAAAATGCACTGTAATATAATGTTTCTTACTTTATCTTTTGGGGGTGCTGTATAGAATTCCTTTAAAGGAATGTAAGGCTTCCTTGAAAATCCGCCTAAAAGAATTCTTGATCCTTTGCATTCTAGGTACTTGATGAATTCTCTAGGCAAGTTAATAGGATAGACTGGCCTTCTGGGTCTCCAGCAACAATAAACTATACAGCATTGGATGGATACCTTAGTAAATATCAGGTATGGTTGGAATGAATATAAAGTGCCAGAAAAGACATCTGTATTGGTTTCTGGGAAATGAGCAAAACAACCTGATCCCTCAGACTAATGTCTTTTCATATTAGTATGATGAGCAGAATTAGATTTTATTTATACCATGGAACTAAAATTTGATGCATGATTTCAACCTTTAACAAGTATAGTCTGTGTATCTGACCCCACTTTCTTTTCAAAAAAGAAAAGAGATGGGTCTCTTGTCTGGCATTGTCCTAAGAGGTTATTTTGCTAATATCTTTGGTCCCACATTGTTGACCACATCTGGTTTTTATCATGTTGCATATGGTTGGTTGCTGAGAACAGAAACAGAGCAGAGAGAATAAATATTAATTATGATAAAATCTGCTAGTGTTTAGGGCATGATAGGGCCTGAGTTTGCATGGCTTGGTATACTTGGAGAAATTGCCTTTCCTAAATATTCCATCGTAGTATCAAAATCTTAATGGCGATTTTTGGTATCTTGCCAAGAACATTATTAAATAAAATTCTGCATTGCTCTTTAAGAATCCTCGTGATGCGGATGCAATGACGAAAGTGCAAGCTGAATTGGATGAGACCAAAGTTATCCTGGTAAGTGGGCAGCATCTTGTTATAAGGGATTGGTAGTTACCAGGTAAACTTGGAAGTGGAACGTAACTTTGTTGCTTTAAAAAAAGCAAATTCTAGGGAAAACCTTAGTGATGAGGTCATGTACTTTGTTTCACACTGTGGATCTGTATAAGGCATTCAGAGTGTAGAATAAGTAAATGCAAGTCCTATTTTAAAGTCACTTTTAGGATCCCTTTCTTTTGAAGCTGTGAATGCAATAAAAACAAAACCTCCTCTCTCTCTCATACGTGCATGTGAATGGAGTTCTGTGTGTTCCTGACATTGGTTAGCTCTTAATTTAGTCTTTTAATGATCACTTGTAATTCTTCAAGCTGAGATGAAAACATGATGCAATCAGATAAAAGTAGGTCATGACTAATTATCTTAGCTGTGACCTCCTTTTTGTTGTTGTTATGGAGTCATCAGAGATGCTCAGATACCAGTAATGAACATAATGCTTCTTGGGTTGTGGGGTAAAACATTGCATATCCTGCTTGTGCTCATGCCTCAAGGATGCCACCTTCCCCACAATTGCCCTGATTGTCATAGTGTGACTCCCATTCAAATGAGCAGATAATACAGTGCACAGAGTTGGTTGTTCAGACTCTTGCTTCCTGTTTGTTCTAGCAATACACAGTGCAGAAAAGTAGCTAGTTAACATATCTTAAGTGGCTGGTTAGTAGTGTATTCTCACCATTCTTAGAACATGGTCAGTCCTAAAAGTACTGAAATCCTGGGATTTTATTAACTGCAGATCAATAGAGTTCTTTAGGTTAGAGAACAACTATACATTGAGCAATTTTCATCCAAATATTAATATTGGCTGGACTGTAAGCAGCTGATTAATGGGTCCTGTATTAAGCACATTCAAATATAATATTGTTTCTGCTACACCATGGTTACTTTGAAATAAATTTTAATCTTTACTTCCTGTTAGAACTTTAAAGTGGTCCACTGGGTATAAATAGGAGATTGATACTGTTAAAAATGGTGGGGAAAGGTTGAAAATTAAATCTTCTTTCTGTCAAATGTTAAAGGTGGGATAAAAATAAAAAATTTAAAAAGTCATGTGAAAGCAACAGTCAACCCGCATGCAGATAAATAGGCTATGAGTGGAACATCTGCAGGCTACCAGTAAGATCACAAGGTGTGCCACACCGTATATGGAATATTACAGAATAAGTTCCACAACTGAAAAACTCTACAGTGTGTTGTATTTTTATTAATAGTGGAGACAAAACAGATTCTCGCTCCCAGTCTTAAAAGAAAAATAAATCCATAAGATGGCAAAACTACTCCTTTGAGACAAACATTTTTGATTTGGGTTAAATTTCAAGCTTAGCTCTTCCATAGCATTCTGGCAGAGACTAAAAGTGGAAGAACTGATTTAATGCTAGTAGTAGTGGTAGACGGAGCCATGGTTGGTCTCTTTAAGAGGCAGATATAGGCAGAGGGCAAAGGTCCAATTGATGTAAAACGCACAATGACACATTCTAAGCTTTTTTCCAAATCAGAAAGTGGAAACTGTAGATGTTTGACAGAAGGCCTGGGAGGGGCGGTGAATGGAAGACTTGGAAGTTAAGCTCTGCATTACAGAACGATCGTACTCATACCACTTGATAGCCTATTTGCTGCCACTTCTGTAGACGGGTTCATAAATTAGTGACTACATACAGCTCCCTCTCTCAGCTGTGTCTTTTCCTGTTTAGCACAATACAATGGAGTCCTTGTTAGAACGAGGAGAGAAATTGGATGACTTAGTGGCCAAGTCAGAGATTCTTGGAACTCAGTCAAAAGCCTTTTACAAAACTGTAAGTATATTCAGGCCAGTGTTCTGTAATATAGACAGTGTTTCTTCTATTTCTGCAATTATTTATGAGACAATAAATGTATGGGGTATTTTTAGTTAATGGAGACTATGGTCTGGAAACCAAATGCCATGAGATAGTAATTAATGCATAACACTTCGAGCTGAAATAAGTTATTTGTTCTCCCGAATATACATTTACAAAGAACTGTTGCTCATTAGGAATGTGTATAAAGATTAGCAAAAGATGCCCTTGACTAGAATGTAATTCTTACTGAACACAATGCTGAATGATTGTAATAAGCTATAAGAACTTGAAGGAGAACAAGTTTAACACTTTGAGAGCCACTGACAAATAGCTCCAATTTTTTCACATCAGTGGGCAATATTTGGCATTTTGCAAATGCTGTGGCTATTCTAGCAAAATGGCTGCCACGATGGACATGGGCAGGTTCAAAACACCCACTTCCCAGAGAGCACGCCACTAAGGTTAAGGGACAAAAACTTGTCCAGGAATGTAACTGCAAGCCAGAGGCTGGGATCTGAAGCCCAAAACATAATATTTTAAACACTATTTTTAGCATTATTTCTATCCACACAGGGGCCCCCTGTGGACTCATGTGGATTATGATAGAAGCACCACTTGCATGACCTTTGTCTCTTGTTACTGGAATTTTTCAGTTTTGCTGAAATTTTTTTCACTACTAAATAGTTGAATGTTTGTATAATTTATGACCAATAATATATATAAAATTGGCATAGAATACATTCTTTCCACACAGCTTCACAAGTTCTCTCTCCAACATGGAAGGGACTGTGCAGCTTCCACAGTCCCCAAAATCCAAGAAAATATCTCTCAGTAATAAATCATAATATAAATAATTAATAAGTGTGTATTCCTTCCCATCCCCACCCGCACCCCCTCCTGACTTCGAAGGCCCGCAAGCAGAATTCATGCTGTGACATCATGTGACTCCATCAACCGTGTACCCTCACCACCTGCTTTGGACTATCCGGATTTGATTTGATTTCATGACTCCTGGAGAGAGGCAGCACATACACGTAACTACAGCAGCATCTGTTGTTTCCAGATTCAGCCATCTCAACCACACTGGAGACATGAAATGGGCTACCACGTTGGGGTCCATGAAATTAAAACCATATTTTAAAAACTAACTTTCATTGGCAAGAGAGCATCTTGGATATTAGGTTGATGACATGAGGGGAGGTAAGAATGGACAGTGTTGCTTACACACATTCCTGTTTTGATCATCTGGCTGATACCTGTACGGGGATTCTCTCCTCTCCTTTCCAAAACTGCAAGCAGATGTGGACTCACTGTGCATACATAAGAGTAAGAAAAACAGTTGGGCTGTCTGAAAGTTCTAAGGTTGCCTTTCTCAGCATTGCACAGTATCCTTGTGTCTTAAAATGTTTGATGCTAATTTGGGAAGCAACCCAAAACCCGATCAATTTTAAACCCGTTCAGAGTTACTCAGAGAATATGGATCTCTGCATTCTGCATGAAAGGAAAAACAAAACCAAACCCTAAGGCAGCCTGAGAACTGATTATACTTTGTAATATAGAAGGAACTCTAAAGAGGTGGGAAAGGGGTTTTAGGCAAGTATGGATATGTACATGCTTTTAAATTTTCTTTGATCCAAGGTGGGAAGTTTCTTCCCATCTTGAGTCAGACTTTTTTTTTTTGCCAAGGATATAAACAGCAGCATTGAGCTCCCTCTCTTATCCAGTACCATTGCTACTTATCAAACCCAGGATTTCATTCAGAAGTGATGATGTGGCATAGCCCCCTTGGCGCTCTTGAATAATGCAGTTTGTTCAGGTTGGGTTTATTGGCAAAAAGCTGGTAACTTTCTAGCTGATGGCTTGTTTTTTCTACCCTGTTCTGCAGGATATGGAATGGGGAGCTATCTTGCAATCCAGGCCTTTCTTTTCACACTATGTATTATGGCTGCTGTTCTGACAGTGTACCTGCCCTGGTATTAACCAGCAGCTTTTCTTGAGAATACTGTACCCAGAAGCATAATCTGCTGCTTTATGCTAGCCCCTGTACCAGAGTCTTGTAGAGTATGATTTATCCTGTATTGGGTCTAAGTGAGTTAGTTGCTGCAGCCATGCAGCTTGGTGTTGTCTTGTGATGTTCTTGGCCAAGCCTACATTCTCCCACAGTTGGAGAGTTTGTCCCCACTGGTTAGTTTTGTGTAAATATAGAAAATGTTATTAATGCTTATGTCTTTCCGTCAGTAGCACCTCAGCTACAAGGCCCTGTCTTTTGGGGGTGGGGCGGGTAGGGATGTATTCTACAGTTGCGTTTCTGCCCCCCTCCCCAAACATTTTGCTTTATCGCACCTGGGTTGGAAATGTCTGCACACAGGTGAACCACCATGTCCCTTAAAGTCAGCTGACTCCTAATCAAGGAGTCCTTTGTGAAGCAATTCAGATAGGCAATAGGAAGAACATGCCACTTGGAGTTGTTGCTTGTCAATGGTATCATGTGTGCGCATGTGCACATGGTGGAATGATCGCTCCTCCAATACATTAACCCAAGAATAGGGACAGAAGTCCATCTTCTAGGGTAGGGATAAGTAACTCAGTAACATCTTGGGCACAGATTTCCTATCCCTGTTGATAAAACTGACACCACTGACTGAATCTCCTCTCCATTCCAGAGGAGGCACATAAAAAGCCAGGACAGCTTGCCTTGCCCACTAGCATGGAACCAGTTAGTGCCAAGTAGACAAATGCCAGAATGACAAAGGGCAATTTAAGGCAGAGTTGAAGGTTACTGGTAGGACTGTGAGGAGAAATCCAATTTCTGACTTGCATTGTTCATTTCTCAAAATGTGTGTGTCATACACAATTGCATCAGCTCTTGTGACTTCTTGAGCAAACCACCAACTTGCCAACTTCCATAGAGTTTATAAATATTCATCAAGCCTAAGGCCAATACAGTGAAGTGGAGCAAGTGAACAACCTGGGGTTTTAACACATTTCTGTTCAACTTGAACAGTGATGGGTGCATCCTGGGACTTGACAACTTGGCTACATTTACTTGCCTTTTGAAGCCTTTCTTGAGGAAGAGACTAGGTGAAAGAGTGGAACTGGGCCAGTTGCAAGCTTGAATCATTATGCAGAGGCTGCATTGGCAGACCTGATGCAGCACCCTTACGGTGCCAGAAATCACCAGCCTTAATTCTTTTTCTTCCTCCAATGTCTGCTTCAGATGCACCAACCTAAGGGCTGTTGTATTTTCTGTAAAGTCCATTTCTGCAGTGGTCAGTTCCTTGTGGGCTGTTACTTTGCTCCAAAAGATTGATTGAGAGGGTAGAAGGAGCACTGCAGTGAGTTTTGTTACTACTTGCCGTAAAAGAAAATGGTTTCTCCTCTCCTTATTCTTTAGTCGAGAATGTACAGTACTGTAGAAACTTGCCTGCATATAGAACAAACTAGTTAGTTACTTTTTTGCCCCTTAAGCTCATCAATTCCTAACTCTTTCTTATGTGGAAGCTTTTACTAAAGATTGTATTTTAATAAATATTGCTTAATGTCTGTATGTACTGGTTATTGGCATATATCTATGTGGATAAAGTTATCCTTGATCATTGAGAATTGGTTGTGTTTCATTATCTCTGGGGATTTTAATTGGGGTCGTATTTCTCATAGGGTAGAATTGTTAGATATGCTTCCCATGTTACAATATATTTTTCAAGAAAAATTGCCCCTATTTGCATATTTTGAACTCCATTCCTGGATTAAAATATGTCATATTTAACAACGTGACATGTTCCAACAATTTCTGTTGCAAGCAACAAATTTTATTATGACTTCATGTGATAATACGGTTTTACCAACAGCTTAACTACGAAGCAACCCCATTTTAGCTGAATTCTGTTGTGGGAACCCAGCTGATGAGAATTGCTTTGAAAGGCTGAGTGTATGAACCTTAAATCAGCTTCCCCCAATCCCTTGTCCACCAGTTGGTATGGTCAAATGTGATATAATACAGGATTTATCAGGGCTCCGAGGCCTGTGTAACCTGAAATTGAATGACACTCAAGCAGATCAGTCCAAACTCAGATTAAGTGGTCAGTCTGCAGGTAAATGCAGATGAATGTCTTAAACTGCTGCATTAAATATTATGTTCTCAATGGCAGTTAAATGATAAAGCTGCCTAGTGCAGCTAGCCCAACCTTGGGAGTCCTCTGCCTACTCAATTTTTCTTTTCCAGTTACTGCACTTAGGCAAACAAGACTGAAAGATATGCTCAGTTACCTATTTTTGCGGCCCTAGTGCAATTGAACCCAAGTTTCTGTCCTGAGATAGAAGTGTGAGGTGTTACCATTATGTCTTAAGACAAAACTGCCTATAGTACAAAACTATGTGTTTTCAACAAGTCCATTTCACAGAAAGCAGAGGAAGAGGAGTGATACCACCAAAATCCAAAAGATCTGATCAATCTTGCTGCTTTCTTAGCTGCAGCAGTGATGCTTCTGTGGCCAGTTGGCCATGTCGTCACGAGGAATGAGTGCACGGAGCAGTGGCACAGCTGTGGTGGTGCCTTTCTCTGTTCTTGTTTTGAAGACAAGGGGGTTCCTTGTATTACCAATCAAAAGGCATTGCATTCCTATTCTTTTATTTGTCCTGGATTTTTCTCTGAATGCAAACCTCACAGAAGCAACAGCAAGAGTAGGCCAAAGTGTATTTAGGTCTTCCACAATAAAATTTCCTGGAGGTTGGGACACTGCACAAGGCCTCATCTGAAATCCCCCCAGTATTCAAGTGTTTCTGGAATGATCTATATTGTCATCCTGATGAATAAAGCTGTTTGCAAAGGGATTTTCCCCCCATCTGCTGATCATCTGATCTTTTTATTATACCTCAACTTCGTTCTCCCCATCTCTGTCTGAACCGAGTCTGAGGATGCAAATACAGCAATCATAAAAGCCCAGTCAGCAGCTGGGTGCTTTCGTATGCTCTAAAATGTGAATGCATACTTTCAGTGTGTATTACAAACCAAGAATATTTTCTTCTTTAATTACCTAGGAAGGTTGGCAGCTACACTTTTATATTAAAACCGACTCTCTAGCATGTAGAAAGCAGGATATAGCAAAAGGAAGCTTGCACAAGGGCGGCCTTGATATAAAAGCTCAGAAACACACTCAAGATGTTTTCCCAATGCTTGTCCCTTTTTCTGTTTTCGTCTGTGTGTGTGTGTGTTTTTTTTTCTTTTAAATTTTATTTTATTTGCAGTTTCCCAAGACAAAAACAAAGTCGGAATTGTTTTTACACTTACAAGGCTCAGAAAGAAAAGACAGTGAAATGGCAAGAAAAAGGGCAAGTTAAGTCAGAAAGAGGAAAAAAGATCCACCAGCATTCATGGAACAGACTAACAGCTCAGCTTTGCTTTTAGTTCTCAATAGAGAGAGATATATAATTATATATCTATATATATATCTATGTATCTATATAGATATATATATAGATTTTTTTTCTCTTTAAGGTCATGCAAAAGAAAATACAACCCCCCTCCCCCAATCCAAAAATACCCCCAGCAACGCACTGAGTTCCATAGTAAACAAGGTGAACACCAAAGGGGAGGCAGCCCTGGTACATTAATGTTTAATAATGAAACACCTGTTTCAACATGCGGCTTGTAATTTTTTTTTTTTTTCATATACATGGATGTAGAGACACTTCTCAAGTTAGTCTTCCACAGAAACCGTACAAGCATATTATATTATGCCCCCCCCCACCGTGAAATCTCCCTTTGCATGTTTAATCGAATACCCACCTCCCCGGTTTCCAACTCCTCCCCTCGAAAAAGAAATGCAAAAAAAACCCAAAAAGTAACAGAACACAAGGGTGCAAAGGCAAATCAGCTGGAAACCATTGGCTCTAAACATTGTCTCCTCCCTGGTATATACTGGACAGTCCTGTCTTGGAAGCACTTCCTCCCCATATGTGTGCGTGCAGGGGGTTGATGGGACCACAGCCCCACCTCAGCTGTGAGTGTCGGCGCATGTGTGTCTGTCTATGGTGTTAGGAGGAAAAAAGGATATTTGACCTAAATCCCAGCAAGCAATCTGCCTCCTGTTCCTCAGCATGCTCTTCCCTGCATAGAGGACACAACTGGGTTGGGGAGGGGAACAATACAAGGGGAGGCTCTCTCTAACCCTCATCTAGAAAGAGGAGCAAGATTTAACTCTTCCTGCACTCTTGTGCTCCCCTGAATGCAACTCCAGCCATCTTGGTGGTACAGTGCAAAGCCCAGTCTCAGGACTGGGCAGCTGTTAAGCAATCTAATTCCTTGATATAAAGTGCTTTCAACGCTATTATCAGTGCTGGTGGGACATCCCCCCCAATGCCTGCTCACACCTCCCTCCCCCCCTTCCCTGTTCCATCATTCTCTCTTGGTCCAATTATCTTTGACATTCATTAGCCATGCAAAATGCTGCACTGAGGTGATGGGGATGGCCTAGAAGGAGAACCTGGACAAAGGCTGCACCTGAATGCTATTAAACATCTCCATGCTAGAAGGCATCCACCTGCAATGTTTGCACAATAACGCAAGTGTGTTTCCTTCCTTTTCTCGAGTTTCTCACTCTGGTGGAATGAGTAGATGACCTCACACTTGCCTCAATAATTCAAGACCATATCAGAGAGATTGAAAGATTCTTCCTTCCCACTATCAATTGCAAGGAGCAACCTGAGCCCTTGGTTATTGTAACCAGCAGGAAACCTATTGATCTGAAGCAGCTGTCAGTGCTAGAGGAGCAGTTCTAGATGGAAGAAACAACTAAAGTGCAAAGACATGTGAGATCTGCCTGAACATAGTCTAACCACTGAACTACAGTCTAGCCATAAGGCACAAAATATGCTTGCCTCAATGCTTTTCCCCTATTTTCAAGTGAAGGAGTCACTTAAAACTTGTCGTGTCCACTGTGCAGCATCTCAATGGAATTAATCAAGATGCTTTCTGTTAACTCAAAGAGGAACTCAATCTTTTATTTCAATAGTTCATCATTAGTTCTAGTTGCTAAAATTTTACCTTCAACAATATGGATTGCTCTGAGATGTTCAGGGATGTGAATTTGCATAGGAATGTCTAAAAACAGGTATGCAATTCAATACACTGTGTTTTCTTGCACGTCCTTATCATTGGTCCTGTCCACCACACTGTAAAATAATGCTGGGCCCTAAATCTATTCCTGTTGTGTCTCTGGGATGTGGATTACCCTGCTTGTAGGCAGCCAATACACAACTTACACTGAAATTTGTACTATCATTTTTGCATACCAGCCATAGTAGGATGACAAGACAAGCAAGCCATCACAGTAGAAGTGATACTAGAAAGCAATACCATTGTGGGGAAAGAACTGGGGCACAACAGTAACAAAATTAGATGGGACACCACAGAAATGACACCAGAAGCAACTCCCTTAGAACATGCACAGGGAATAGCAATAATCATGCCACTTTTTAAGGAGACTACATCACACCATCCCGGCTCACCTAATAACTTATTCCATTGTCTCAAATTTCAGCTTTGGTTTCTGACAGTAACAATCGCTTTCCAGAAAAACCTTTTTTTGCTCAAAAACAGTGCCAATTTATTTTCTTTAGCCCAAAAGGTTCTAATTTCTTATCAAGCCCATAACTCCTTCTGAGAAGTAGTACGGTAGCTCTAGTGCCTTCCAAATATCAACTGAAGTCATGGTCACAATGGCACATGAAGTCATCTGTGTGTTCATATTCTTAATGTATTTGCAGTCTATTTTGACTGCTCTTTTTGCCAAGTGCATGCAATCAATCTAGCTCCAAGACACTGAATCCCCAAAGCACCTGATCATGCAAAGATGTGTTTCTTATACTGGGAGCCCATTGGAATACAGAAAATTACTCTTTTTAGATTCAGACAAGTTTCTCCCACAGAGCGCAAAGCAATATAAGCAATGAAACCCATAAGTTTCATGAACGAGACAGCCAAAAATATCAGAGCTCCAGTTAAGAGTAGTACACTTGTAGTAGGAGAAAAGCAAGGCAAGATAGGTAGGCACAACATAGGTTTAATCTGAAGAACTTGGGATGAAGAATGGTTTGGAGTAGCTTCCTTGGAATTACAATATTCCCATCGCTCACTGCAGGCACAGCTTGTTCAGCAAGAGTTCTGGATTTCTTGCCTGCCATCATAACAGGCAAATTGGGGCCAGGCAAGCATACACCCACCAGCATATTTGCAACTAGTCACATATAAAAGACTCACTTTTACACGAGATCTGTGGTTACCTAGCCTTCTCATCTGATTTTAGCTCATTTTTAGCAATTTGTGGCTTGTATAAAATGACGCTGGTTGCAAACTGAAGTATGGGTTGTCTTTTCAGAAAGCATGATTGGAGATTAGGGGAAAAGCTACTGGATGTGACTTTGTGACCAAATGAGTCTTGTTATCTTTTTTTCTCACCCTAGCAGCAGTTGCCTGTACCCTATCTCTAAATATGTTCTCCTGACATTATTAACTTTAGTTACCATGTTCATATAGGTTGAACTGATGCTATCAGTGGAGAAGCAGGACCTGTAAAGAAGCTGGCTGCTCATTTGACTTTATTTACCAATGGCTTATCACTTGGACGAGAGCCAAATATTTTTAAACTGTGCAGAATTAAATGTTGGCAAGAGTGGCACTTCCTAATATGAGAAACTTGCATGTACCAGATTACATACAAGATGTGATAACATGACCATCAGAGTATGACCGTTATATACAAACACTGGAATTACCAATAGTAAAACTTGGGGTCCAATCATCAATCCAATTTTTATTCTCCATTAGCATAAATATTGAAAACCTTTTGGTTTTACTGATTATTTAGACTGCTACAACCTGGCAGATTCATTCTCATTTTTGTGAATAACCAAATTTTTATTTTTTTTATATATATATATATATATATATAAAAAAATAATTATATATTACTCAATTCTTTACACTGATGGTAGACATCAATGATCCATCTAGCCCAGTGTTTCTCAACCTTGGCAACTTGAAGACGTGTGGACTTGAAGCCCACACGTCTTCAAGTTGCCAAGATTGAGAAATATTGATCTAGCCTATTAATCTGTCTCCCTATTCTGAATAGCATGGCCAGCCTTCCCCCACCTGATGTCTTCCAGTTGCCTTAGATTACAACTCACAGAATTCTCAGGCAGAAGGCTATTGGATATGTTCACTGGGAAATTTGGGATTTGTAATCCATGATGTCTTAAGAACATCGGATTCAGGAAAGTTGTGTTTGACTCTGATGGAAATTACCCAAGGCATTAATACTACTTTGCTGCCCTCTGGTGAGCACATCACAACTTTTAGAAGCAAGGGTGCTCCCAATGAGACCAATAATTAGAGCCCTTGCTAGTGAAACAATGGCAGAGTTCAGATGCAGCAGAAACCATGTTTTCCCATCAATGAGAATAGACTAGTGAGGTTCCGATTCAGACACACCTCCTTCGGAAACTGGTTTCTTCTAAATAAAAGACTTGTATGAATATCATTTCTTGAGATCAGTTTGAAGGTTCAGATAATTAGTCTGGCCATTGTTTTATCTGGCTGGATTATCAACCTATTGGAATACCAATGGAAATAAGCATTCATTGCTGGTGGGGCAGAAATGAACTCGTGTGAATGAGAATGCCAAGAAGATAGCATTAGATTGTACTTTTTTAACCAGCTGTTGACGAGGAGACATGAAAAAGTGGGGGCTGGTGGTTGCCCATGGAAATTATTTAATGGCTGCCAGTGAAACCCTCTTAAGGATCACTGATGCAAATGGAAGACTATTTAGTGCTGACCTACTCACTCCAAAGTTCCTATTCTGTAGAGTTTAAAGAATCCACTGAAATGTCCTTCAAAAAGGATAATGCAGAGGCTGCTCATCTGGTTTAGATTATTTGGTTTACAGTAGCTATCATCACTTGCCACCTGCCACAGTTATTCGACTGATAGGAGCTGAAGTCTAAAACATCTGGAAGGTACCACGTTGTCTATCCTGGGTATAAAAAATGCAGTGGTTCCTAACTATTGCAGAGGGATGAATAAACTGCTACTAACCTGTGCTCATATTCCAAGCCGTTTATGAATGACTAATGATAGGAATTGTGTATTTTCCTTTGGCTATGCACACCATACCATACCTCATCCCATACAAAGTGAATACCTGTCCTACAGCCATATTAGCTTGAAATCCTTTCCTCTAGAAGAAATGACCTAACTGCAAGTTATACTAAGAGGAATATTCTTCAACCTAGAGTTTTATAATGTAACTCCACTCAGTTTTTCTTGCCCAATCTACAGTGGTGACAAGGAACAATGATCACGGTTACTTTATAGTACTTCCAAGGTTGCTGAGATCAACCAAAAATATTTCATTGGAAATGACCTAACTGTAGTGGGAACTGAGAGTCACCACTGTTGTTGCTGCCTTCAGAAAATGGCAGAATTCTTCTAGCTGGACAAGCAAGAATAGAAGGGGGTCACACCTATTCCCCTCACATATATGGATGACAGATACTCTTGTTCAAAACAAGAGGTCCCCACAGATGAGGGGTGGGAGAGCAGCTTCTTCACTTCACATTTTAATATAAACTTACCAAATCCACACTTCCTGAGTCACTATACGAACCTGATGATTTATATATCAAAGCACATTTCTGAATTTTGCATGACAGTTGTAGCTTAAGAAATGCACACTGAAATGCACAGATAAGGATAGGGTCCTCAAAAGTCTATTATAATCCCCCGGGGTTTGTTTTTTTATAATTTTGGCTCATGCATAGTAGTTGAGCTTAGACTTGTAAGCAGTACTAAGCTTACATAATTGATTTTCTACCTGTGGTGGCACAGGGGATTTATGATCCACCAGCAATATTTTATTATTTAAATTACTGTTTAAATTATAGAATGTTATTTTGAAATAATTTTTGTAATATACAGCTATTTTACAAAATGTTTAAATTTAAACATTACAATCCATCATTAGGTTAACAATAGAAAGGGTTTATAATTTGTGTTGATTATAACGAAGTAGTGTGAATTTCAATTAATACAGCTGAAATAAACAAAACTCTAATTTCTGGAAAGTATCATTAACATCTATTGATCATCTGACCAATTATAACTCAATATTGGCAATCTACTCAGTTCAGCTTCTCCTAGAAATATTCATGTGTCTCTGGCATCTCTGTCAGTGTGGCAGGTAGTACTGTAGCCACAACCTCTGAGGTATCTGTAGAAGTGATTATATGAGTGACATTTAGTATTTTATCCATTTTATTTTACAACCTAGCATAGTTCTGTGGTTTTATTTAAGTTAAATTTTAATTGTGAAAAGTGTCAAGTTTATTCTTGCCTGACCCTAATCCCAATGAAATTACCTTATTCATTGAGGAGGCACATAAATACATTAATCATTTAGTGGGTTGTTATATTGCAAATGTTGAGAATCAGAGGATTGTGGGAAAGGACACCAAAACTTTCAGGCTGAAGAAACGGTTCTGTAAGCAGATACCTACCAGCCCATCCATGATCAGTAAAAAGATCTACTTCCTTGCCAGTTCACCAAAAAGCTGTTAGAAAGAGAAGACAGAAGGGCCCACCTTTATGTCTTGGGAGATAAATGGGTTCTAATAGGAAATAGTTTAGTTGCTGAAATCCTTGTAATGTTATCTCTTTCCCTTCAATAAATCTAGTTAAGAAAACTCTGTATGACTTGTGCCTGGAAAAACAATTATTTTCAGTTAGAATCAACTGCCCAAGAGCCAACAATCACTTACCCCTCATTTATATCTAAGGGAAAATATATTTAAAACCATGCACAAAATTGTACGTGAAAAATCATAAACTGATATGGGGAAAGATGACATAACAAATGTTAGATTAGAAAAAGAGAAATGCATTTGAACGTGGTTACATTCACCCATTTCTATCACTACAGACCTATTTGTGTGAGTCTTGAAAACAACACTGGGATTGGAATTTTGCATTATTTACATCAGACTGAAATGCTGAATTAATACTATTTACACAAAATCATAAAGCAATAGATACTTGGGGAAGTCAGGTGACGGTGCATATTGATTGAGAGACTGCAAAAAACTGTTTTATCTACTTAAAAAACCTCTCTTTTGGGATTTTCAGCCCCTAAACTGTAAATTTTTTGTGTTATGCAAAATAGCATTTCCGCCTTTCTTTCCAAAAGCAGCACTGCCTTCCCAATTATTTTTAGCTCAAATCACTTATAGTGGATTCCCTGTGTAGCCTAAGCTATCAACAATCTTCTTCTGCAATCAACAGCCCTAAGAAATCAACATGCTTGTTTTGGCAATAGAAGTTCCACAGAAGGCAAAAACTGTAATTTATAGAAAGGGGAAAGCCTTTGATACCTAAGAACACTGCTTTTGCTCTCATCTTTATCGTGAAAGGGAGGCAGTGCAGTCTAGTGGCTAACACTCTTTTCATTCCTGACAGACCTCATATGGCACTTGTTTGCCAGTCCTGTTCTAGTATAGTAAACTAACATTTGCTATGTAATTTTTGATAAGATCCCTTTATAAAAATTTGAAGACCTAGCTCGGTCACTAAGTTCTACTATCTCTGGAATAAAAAAAAGTTAGAAACAACTGTATTTTCTGCATGCATATTTTCTGAGTACTGTTTGAATATATGAAAGGGAACTAAACTCCTCCAAATCAGAGGAATCCGCCTGTATGACACACATGGGAACATCCACCACTGAGAGATAATGCAAAGCCCACAGATGGGCGCAGGTGAGGTAAGAGAATCACAGAGAAGAGCCTTTCTTAGCATCTACAGCATACAGGAAGGATTCTTCTCAGCCTCGTTTTGGGCAAATATTTCAGATACATCTAACTATTCAAAAGTTGAAGCAGAAATTGCAACATGGGATCTGTCTTCCTCCACATGAAGTCCTATTATCCCTGGAGCCATATACACCAAGAATTTACCATTTAACTAACCAACAGGATGATTGGGAACAAGCTACAAAACAGGAGTGTCAACAAGAAGTCCACGTGACTGGCCAAACAGCCTTCAAGCTTTAAATGGGTAAGGAAAGTAGGATTTCAAAAGACCCAGTGCATTTGCCCAGTTCTAAGTATCCGGTTCTTGACATCAGCTGACTTGATTTCCCATTATTAACTGATGCTATGCAGCCCAATCCTTCACATAGCAACTCAGAAGTAAAGCCTAATGAATCAACTTGCTTCACAGGAAATGTGCACAGGATGGCCACTTTTCTCTGTGTCCCCATTTCTTTCCCCAACTTCTAGAGAAATTATTAGAAAATCCCTTCCCAGCAATCAACTAATTAAACTTTGCCTTGAAATATCTCCCGGCAGGAAACAATACTGTGAATTTCACACTTGTCAAAATATAGGTTTATGCCATGTTCATTGCAGCAAGGTATTTCAGGCCCCCAAAACCTATTCCTCTAGCCATGGTCCACGAGGAACCGCTCAACTGCCCTCATGGCTACAAGGATCTAATTAACCACTGCATGCTAGGAAACCAAAGGGAGTTTAGGCTGTGGGATACTGAGCAAGGAATTGGGGGAGGGGGGTGTCTCCTTTATGAATATTAAAAGATGGGGGGAAACAGCCCATTAGAAGAAAACAGAGCTTTCTTATTAATACATTCTGGCATATGCCACACTGTACATCTGTTATGGCCAATGTGAGCCTCCTGGCATGAAGATGTAGTGGGCAGAAGACAATGCTTTACATCTTCCACTGGGACCTGGTGCAGCTGAAGCTGGCACTAGCAGCTTCTCCACAACATCTGACACAGTTCACACTGGCCTTGGCCAATGAAAGACCCCACAACGCCACCTTCCATCTCTTTCTGCTACGGCTTGGTCCATGGGGAGAATTGCCCCTTTTGGTTTCACTTGTTTGGGGCCACCTGTTGAGTCAGCTCCTGAATCTAGAGCTCCCTGAAGTGCTTTTACCCACTCCCAAGAGCAATTTTCTCAAAGTTTGCTGTCAATCAGCTCTCTTTGCAGGTAAATTCACAGGAGAGAGAGAGAGAGAGAGAGAGAATGAAGATGAATGAATGGGATATGCAACTTTAGCTAACCAGCTCTCTTTCTTCTAGGCTGATAAGAACTTCAAGCAGATCCCCCACCCCCCAAAGTATTGACTTTCTATTCCTTTCATCTTCTAAATTAATATACTTTCTATGGAAGTTGAAGAGGAATGAGAGAAAGTGGGGCTGAGCTTTTACAGAGGGTAAGAAAACATCTCTTCCTTTTTCTGCTGGATAGAAAGTTAGTTTCCCAGCACTAGAAAAGGCTGAGATTTAGTAGTGTTGACTCTTTTCTCACTAGCTATTTTAAGCAACATTACAACTTCCCAGCCAGTCCCACTAAGCAAGGGCAATCCCTGCCCCAATAATAAACCATGGTAGGGGCACAAGTACAACAACTCCAGTGTTGGTAGCCCTTGTTGAGAGAACAGGATCAAGATGTTAGTAAATGTGAGTGCTAATGAGAATGCAGATATCCAAAAATCTGCAGCGAGGCCTATATATAACTCCAAGGCTATGCTATCTTTCATTTACCTGCCAGGATGGGTGCAGTCATCAGCCTACCAGAGAATCATTGGCAGTGGTGTTGGCCTGGGAGGAGCCCAGAAAGCAAAACCCCTCCACCATCAACAGGATCCCCCTCTATTCAGAGGAAAAAACAAATTAAATGAAGAGGCTGGATAATTACCATCGTCATAATCCACAACCATAGTTACAGGAGAAAGAAAATGAATCAGTCTGGGAGTGTCTTTTTCAAAATGAAATGGTAGCACTGATCACAGACTTCCAAGCGCGAACACAATCACTGAAGAAAAAGGCCCATACTTTTGGCAGAGAATGCAAATACTATAAAAAGGGGCTCTGTATCTGGTTTTGTGTATGTGTGTGTGCACGCGCACACACAGACACACATATATACAATAAATTCTTGATTTAACAGACTAATGGGGGAAGGGATGTTCATGATATCTAAAAAATTGTAAAATGCAGTATTTTTAATACATGTGTAAAATGGCAAATGTGTATTTTACACGTGGGTCAAATGGTAAAGGAGCAGATGCAAAAAGTGCATGGACAGATTTTGTCCACTGCATCTGAAGCCCGCTGAACCAAGGTCTGGTAAATTTAGTGTGTGTGTATGTGTGTATTCACTAAACAAACACTGTTCAACACCGGGATTGATACAGGGAGGAGGTGGGGCCTTTGTTTTTTGAAGTTGAGACATTTTTCACTGCAACACCTGGTCACTTGAACAGCTGCACACCAAAAAAAAAAAAAATGGAGTTGGTAGGGATGGTGAGTGCATTATGGTGAGGCTGCAAGTCTGACAGCTGAATGGGTTTGGCTGGGTTTGCTTTTTTGTTTTTAAATAATCAAGTCTACTTGGATTTTTTTTTTCTTATATGTTTCTCTGTCTCTCTGTCTCTCTCTCTCTTTGCAAACACAGGCACTGGAAATGAAAGAGGGGAAGGACGGGGAACGGGGGACACGAGCATGCGGGCGCGTGCTTGTCATTGCTGCTCCCGGCTAGTGGCTCAGCTGAAATCACCATCTCCTTCCAGATGAAATCAGAACAGCCAGCGTGAGTTCTGGAAGACAAACAGAAATAGAGACATTGTGATGAACTATTCAAGGCCGCCCAGGAGGTAGGCAAGGGCATTAGATGCAGAGATTTTCATAGTCCCGAGGGCGCTAGGCATAACTCACAGTTTTAGCCCTGAACCTGGACGTTAGTGGCATTTAGGCACATCTAACCATTTCCTGATTATGATCAGATTCAAAAGAAGCCTCTTTTACTGTAAAAGTTGGATTTCCTCCACACTTAGTAACTGATTAGTAGTCATGTCCCAATTCTTGGAAAAGCCTGGGGACCATGCTGGCTGGCTACATTAGAAGAATAGTACTGCCACTTCCTTCTTCTCCTTCTTCCAAGTACTTAGTACTTCTCCAGAAGCGTTTAAAACTCTGCTTTCAAACCAAGTAAAGAAGCAACTCTTTGTTTTATCACACTTTCAACTTCATTTAAGCAGAGTAATTATATATGTGTTCTTGAAGACTAAAGCCATGCACAATCAGTTGACTAAATAAACGGAAAAACAAGAGGAAAGCTGCTGGGTCGCCAGGAGCGAAGCCGAAAAGTGATCCTCCACATTCAGCCTGAACCTTTGGAGTGGGTGGGCTAATTTGGGGGTTGGAACAGGACATTTGCACACCTGTCTTTAAAAGCCCAGATCTTAACTCACCAGAAAAAGGCACATTTAGTCCTCTTCTGCTCCCAACTGGGTCTGGCATGGATTCATCCTCTCTCAAACCCAGCACACACATGCTCTCCATGGCGACCAACACAGACACACTGGTTGATCACTGGTTGATCTTTCCCAGAAGTGAAATGTAGCCACCACTCCAGCTGACTGTTTGCCATCCTCTTACCTTCACTGGAGAGGGGCCACCGGAGCTCCCGAGCAGTGGAAGTGAACATTCTGCCACTTGCCATCCCGGCGGTGCCAGACGCGGGTCTCTTCGGACTGGCAAGTGCGAGGACGGCCCTGCCCATCAATGTACTGTGTCAGGCGGATGTAGGCAATGCAGGCAGCATCTTCCCCAATGACGTGCACATGAGGGTTCAGGATGGTTGTGTGAATGGGCTTGTTGTTCTTAGATAACACTGAAAGGGCAAAAACAGGGCACTGGTTAGGAAATGGCAAGTTATTTTTAGCCCCTTCTCTTTCAGGAAAAAAAAAAAATTGAATCAGTCTTTGCTGGCTGATGTAGATTTACTGGATTTTGACTTAATTAGGCACTAGAGATTAGGGTTCTGCTCGGCTTGAAATGAAGGAAGGAATAGCAGGGGAAACTTTTGCTTCAGCGGCTGGTAAGGTAGTTGGCTTTCTGCTGGCGGATATGGTGATTTTATATCACCTACAACATTGCAAAGTTTTATTATCTACCATCAAAGCTTCAGCAGGGGGTCCATAGTAAGATTTTAGATGGATTGCTCTATCTGCTTATTTGTGCGTATCTATTTCGACTCTTTTTTCTTTTTTTTGCTTTTTATTTCTGTTTTATTTGCTGGCTAAAGGCTGTCCTAAATAAAACTGAATCAGTAGGGGAAGGAAACCTATCTCAGAGAGAGGGAGGAAGAAAGAAGGTAAGTTGTTTTGACCTAAACATTCATAGGTGGATCAGAAAGAGGAAACAACATTTTTCCCCTCCATCATCACTGAGCATGTGTCAATATGCCACAGATTTAAACTATAGGCAAAACACCACAGATTTCCTAGATAGAGAAGCATTTCACAATTCCTAGAAAGTTTATATGATCTGAAGAGAAACCAGAGTATCCTAGAAAGTTTATGAAAGCTTCTTTGAAAATGATCTAGGAACTTCTAGTTAAGTCTCTATCACTGAATGCTGCTAACTATTTGAGGCTACCAGCCCATAACCTGACAAGCCTCTTGCAATCTTCTAATCCAGCAGGAAAGGGAGCTTCACTGTGGCCCAATATTCACTATAGATCAGTTGCACACCCATCCCAGGCCTGCTGGTGCCAGTCACTGGGGGACAAACAGGATAGAAAAAGAAGGGTTCCACTTTCACTGAAGATTTCAATGTCTCTACCTGATTGTCAGGGACTCTTCAGAAACTCAGGCTGAAAAAGATTTTTGCTTTCATCTGCTATCTGATTAGACCAGTGTTTCAACCTTGGCAACTTTAAGATGTATGGACTTCAACTCCCAGGGAAGCACGTGTCCTGCTGCTGAACCATTCCCCAGATGGTCAAGTGATGGGAACCCTCTGGGCCACATCTTCTACCACAAAATTCTACATTCCTAGGGCCACTCTAGATGTCTTTTTCTGTGTTTGGTGAAGGCAGATGGAATCTAATTTGGGCAACTGGTCTAAGGAAGAAGAGCAAAGAAGGACAAATCTTCAATGCGAAAAGGAAGTACTAGAACAGTGGTGAGCAACACTTTTGTCTCTTAGCCTGTTCAGTTCGGTTTAGTCTTTTTGCAAGAAATTTGGGGCACACCTTTTGCTCTTTAAAATTAAACACAATTTAATTTAGGACTGTGTGTTTTCTAAGAGATGAAGTGTGTATCTTAAGCTTCTGCAAGGCTCAACACTCTAGGCTCTAGTTTTGCTTTGGAAGCTCTTCAAAAACAAAAGGGGAGGTCAGAAATTTGGGGCCCATGAATTTCAGGGATGTTCTGAGGCCACCAGCAGTGGATTTCTCACTCCTGTATTATGCAATGTTGTACTCACAGTTTTCAAAGTAAAATCTGTGGAAGTCCATCCCTTCAACAAGATTGCCCAGTGCTTCAGGTTCAAATGAAGTTAGGCCTGGATCACATATTTTCCTAGACATAAAGAGAAAGTGATAATTGAGATTAAAAGGGTTTTGGTTTTTGATTTTTGTTCTTTTGGAAGAGGAAAAAACTCCTAAGCTTCTTAGTTTTTAGCATCTAACTTGTTAAAAACTTTGTACAACATCTGAATGCATTCAGAAAAGAACTTGTCTACATATTCACAGGGTGATAGATGCTATATTGCTCTCCTTTTCTACCCAAATATATTCAGCAAATATATCCAGCTGGGTTAAGGCCAATTCAACTGAGAAATTAGCTAATAAATATGTACCACAAAACTGATAGGCTATGTCAGGTGTGTGCACAGCTAAAAGGCATAGCTGAGCTGCTATTTAACCAGAGGATGATAACAGCAGAAAGCTGGAGGGGCACATTTCAATCTGAGCCTTTCAAGTTGAGTCCACTTAAATCTGAACCCCAGACAAAATTTCAAATTTAGCAAATCCAATTTACTAGCATGGCAGAAAGAAAAAAAAGCAAATGATCTGACACATCCAAACTCTGATGCATAAAGCATCAGCAGAGGACTTTCACAAACAGAAAACTACTGCCTTCTAGGTAGAATAAAAGACAAAGTGAAGCCCCATGTTGATAAAGACAATTACAACAAAGGTAAAACTGACTATTAAATAAATGAGAATCTTGTGCGTAGAAGGACTTCTTGTTAGAATCAATTTTTGGCATACTGCTGGTTGACCCAATTAGTTATATGAATATGAATTATACAAGTAACAATATAGTCTAGTGGGGAACCTTAGAGACATCAGTACCCATCTGCTTATCTTGAGCACAAAAACCATATTCTCAGTTGTGTTTCCTCCTATCACTTACTTATCATTTTTAGAATACCTAGAGTAAGTAGAGTGAGTGGGGAAAGTCTGTCTCCCAAAAGCTGACCTTACAATTCTCAAGAACTAGCCAACCTATTTGTTGACATTTTCTGGTTTGTACAAGAGAGACAGAAGGCACTTCCTTATATGTCCTACACCACTCTGGGTAATTTAGCAAGAAGCTGGGCTGCAAACCCTTGGAATGGTTTTTGAGCAGGAAGGAGCTTTTTTGTCTTTTCAGGCTAATCTTTGAATCAATCAACTGGGAGCAATAACAAAGAAGTCAGTGGGGCCAGGAAAAATTAAATTTTAATTAAAATTATAGAAATATAACCATGCCCAATGCATTTCAGAATGTCTCCTTTCTTTGACGTTAAATATGATTAATTTGATGGCAAGCTTCAGAGGTGTTTTCGGCCCCATCCCCAAGACTTTCCAAGGATGGCAGGATTTCTAGGATATATTAATTTTATTTATATGCCAACTTTCTTTCTGGAAAAAACACTCCAGGCAATTTACAAGTCTTAAAAATGAAGTAAAAAGAAATACAGAGTTAAAAATAATATAAAAACAGGAGGATGGAAACAAATATTGGTGCATCTATATATTGCAATTATTTATATTCTGCTTTTGAGGATCATAACTCTCCTCAAGCAGCTTTCAAGCAATATAAATACTTGCGATAAAAAATACAGTATCATTGTAAAATAGGGAAGCATAAGCATAGAAGTGAAAAGCTTGCATTCAATCATGTAACCTGGGGTTGACTTATTAAAGGTACTGCCCTATTAGGGACATAATAAATAGCATGGCAACCAATTTAATTCTATGACGAAGGGTACTATTTACATCAATAAATAGCAATGCATATAAAACTGCATATAATATACTGGGTTGTGAGACCAGGATCCCTGTAAGATCTCACACCCAGCCTACTCACGCATAGGCCTCAAAATCGCCATTGTTCACAGACTCTATCAGCTGCTCCGTTATCTTGATTATTTCCTGTTTGCGGGCTAGGTAGAAAATTAGAGAAAAAGAAAGATGTGAAAATAAACAAAATATCAGCAAGAGTGGATGCCTTTCATGTCAAGGTCTTAGCAGAAAACCAGCTGCCTCAACTGTCTTTATATGCTCTATTTCCACTATTCTTCATTAGGATCTTTTAAGTACTACAAGGACAATGTTACTATATCTGGGCTGCAAAAATCTGAACAATCACTAGAAGGCAGCAAAAAGACAGAAAATATGCTAGGTCTTTGCTGCCGTCTAGTGACTGTCTGCAGTCCTGATACAGTAATCCTAACCAACAATAGTGTTGGAGGATTCAAATTCAGAACTCCGGTTGACTGTGAAGCTCTTTAAGTGTTAGTGGATCAGTTGTTCTCAGACCAGCATACTGCATAAGGCTGATATGAGGATTAAACTGAAGGTGCCACATGATGAGCTTCTTGAAGAAAAGGAGGACTAATATTAATAGGTCTCATACTAGTAGTAGTATGGATATGGTTCTCCAGGATTGAATAACCACATTAAAAGGGAACATGGAAAAGACTAACCATAGGTTAAGAGATACTGACTCCCTCAAAAATCAGGTGCACAGATACCTCCACCATATATGTACATCCTAAACCAGCTTTCCACCAAAGAATAAATCCTAACGTTATGGACCAGAGTGAGCAGAACTGATTACACTGCAGACATACAATCTAGGAAACCATAACTCATTGTCAGCTTCCACCACGCTACAAGATTTCTCCCTTACCTCAAACATCAAGGCATTCTTCTTCCACAGTACCAGAGAAATCTATTGCCCTCCTACAATGATGTGGACTGAATCTCCATATATCTCTGAAACCAGCACACATAGGAGAACTGGGGAGATGCAGGAAATTACAATGTACCCAAGTGACCTAATTAAGCAGGTGCTATGAATAATGAAACACTCTAGTGGCAGAGATGGTGTCAGTGGCCTTGCCTAGGTCATCTCCTTGGAGCCTAAGCAGTTTGGAGACTTCTGTCTTCACATGGACTGAAACACCCATTTCATGGCTGGTTAGCAAGGATGTAGCCTTCAATCCTCCCTACCTGAACAATAAATTCCATTCTTCCCTAGACCTCTTCTCAAAACAGTTTAGATCTTAACCCTGCCTGCATCTTAAGAGGGCCAGAAACTGCAAGGAGAGGCTAAGAAACTTAAAAAAACCCTGGCAATGAAGAACTCAACCACCTCTAGTGAATCTCATCTGATAAGACAGCCAGTTGTAGATCTGAATGGTATGTATTACAGATATTCTGTATGGTTTTCTGAGTATTGCTTTAAACTTGTTTCCTTAATTTGAAATATACAAAGAACAATTAGCCTAATTCACAAAGTTCTGAGGCTAAAGGTAGTTGAAAATACTAACCCTGCCTTTAAAGATACTTTGCTCACTGGAATCATCAAAATTGACCCAAACATTGTTTTACATTAATACTACACAATCTATGACCCATTCAGCTGAAACCAATCCATCGTTCTAACATTTCCTGAATTTACTCCTAGCGGAATACAGTGAAAAAGAGGGCATGTCAGGCCAGTGAAGAACTCCTATATATGTTGTATTATGGCAACCTTTTTCAACTCGATATTGATTTCAACTCCCATCATTCCCAACTCACATGGCCTCCAGTATCACTTGCAGGGGAATAATAAGTGACAAGGGATATTGTTTTCATGCACTGTCAGTACACTTTTCAAAAACAGCCACTGCGGGCATCAGATAAATTAGATCTGGTCTTCTTATGTTCCTAAGACTGTATTCTTATATGCATTTAACATGGTATAAGCCCCACTGAATACAACAGGAAATCCATGACATATGATTAGAATCAGGCAGTATAATGATCCAAGAAACATGCTGTACTCTCATGGAAGCTTTCTCTGCTGTCTGGAATTTACAAAGGTGCCCCTTGCTTAATCTTCTCCTTCTTGTGAAAGTTAAATTTTCACATGCTCAACAACCAGATACTAATCAGGCCATCACTAAAACAAGGATAGATGGAAACTGTGTCTCCTGCACATAAGATTTAATTAGCTCTTTACCTACAGCAAGTGGCAGAAAGTATAAGAAATGTGAATACTGATTGTCATAAATAGAGCTCACATTTGATACCCAGCACTTGCTGGAATTCTTTCATAATGGGTTCATAGTTTTGCTACAGTAAATCTACTGATCTCATAAGATCTTTCCTTATGTTTTAAATTTCATTTTCAGACACAATCTTTATTCTAGATTTGGGCCCTCCCAACTTCTGAATGTCAAATTCCAGGAATAGTATATGTTCATACTGCTACTTTTATCCAAAGTAGACTATGGAGATTCCTGCATCTTAAATGATGCCAACCTTTGTTTCTTAAATTAACTAAGTACATGAACAAAGAGATTTGCTATGCAAATGAGCAACAGAAATGTAGTTCCAAATTAGTATTTGGCTGTTCTTCAACTCTATTTTACCTGAGCTGATTCTACCAATTTTCTGGATGCTCATGAGTCTTAATTATTCAATTGTTACTCAGGTAACACTCTTGCTGTTAGGAAAAATGCAAGACTAGGAGAACAAATGGTTCATGCATACACTATGGGGAAAATTCACTTCGAAGACATGAAATTACCCCAAAACAAATGTATCTTGAGCAAACATGGACTGATTTCTGATATACTAGCAAGACTAATTCAGATGGATCCAGTAAAATTGGGAAATGATAGACTTTGCCTTGCAAGTCACCACATACGGATGATTCCTGAGATAAATTAAATGGATAAAAAAGGCAAGGGGAAAACAGCAACCCTTTTCCTTAGCACTGTAAGCCTTATCTGAGCCACTCCTACAAGCTTTATGGAGCAGTAAATCCCATTTTGCAAAGAGCTGTCCAAAAATATTGGACAATTCTAAATGATATGACAGATTAGTTCACAGTTATCAGTGACTGCCATAACTATTTCTTCTCATGCTGATGCTTCACGATGGACAGATGTTTCTCTTTCTACACACCCATTTACTTTGGAAATTTTCCAGGGCTTCTTTTGTTTCCATAGTGTACCCTACACAAGGACACATATCATGTACATTTTTCCTTTTTCATTAAGTGAATACCCATTCCTAGTATGCCCAGTTTTGCACAAATACATAGTCAGAAAGATAATTCCACATGGAAAAAACAAAAACAAAAACCAGCACTGAGGTTAGAGACTGAAATTCTATGCACATGTATCTGGAAGTAAGCTCCATACAAACAGGATTTATTCCAAGTCAACACATTCTGTGAAAAATGAGAACACTTTGTCCTTAAACCACCCAGATTAAAAAGCATTGCAAATGCACATCGACTGATAATTAATTCACATCAAGCAATGTTCAATACATACGTTATGTTTTGTAGATGCCAGTGATTAATGGAAGCAGGATTTGTCCTGACCCTTAACCCGTGCAACGTTCCTTCTTGAGGGCACTTCTGGCCACTCACAGAAGAAAAACTGCCTTTCTTTAACCTTCGAACCAAGCCACTTCTTACCTGTGATCTTGTTGGCCATGCCTATTTCCACTTTGAAGGGGCAGCATTCTCTGTGGCCTGCTCTAGCACTACTTGTGTGACATCTCAGCTCAGTTCTGCCAGAGTCTCCCTCCAGCTGCAAACATGCCAAGCTGTCATCCATCCTTGTAAATGTATACCACTGTCAGGGACTCCCAGCTTTTTAGCAGGAGAAAGATTGTTCAGGGCAAAGAGAACCAGTGACAGACACTGAGACCTTGTGACTCAACACCCCATGGGGAAAAAGAAACTTCTTTTCCATTTCTTCTGCAGTTGCTGCTAGGTGCAATTAAGCAGCTATAGATTATCAACACTTGATGCAACAACAAATAAAATAGCCAATAGCCCCTTTCTGGCCCACTTATGTGAAGGTTTGAGTATGTGGGTGACTGAGCCTAAAGCCTGCATTTTCTAAAAACACTGAACTTTGAGGCCCAAAACTACTTATAAATAAGTTCATATTCCTTTTGCAGATTTTTTGGGGGGTGGGGTGGAGGGATGCCTGACTAAAACAAATAATGGTTTGTTTGTTTTTTTGGAGGCTCAAAAAAAACAGCATCTCTTTTTTCTAGCCCCGGTAACTTCCAACATCCCATTTCCACTTGAGACCTCCGTTTTGTGCTTGGAAAGGGGAGTTTTGCAAATGTTCAGACTCCAAGAGCTTTCAAACAAAACCTTTTGCATTCCCTAATTGAAACTGATGTGACATCTTCCTGCCTGAGGTTCCCTAAAGTTAACTGGGTCATGTAGAGAGCCAGAGAGGTGGCCTTGAAACCTCTACATATACAAAGAGTACCGAAGCAGGACCTGGGAAGGGAGATAGTATTAAGAAGAGGCTCAGGTTGGCCCGTCCCTGACTCACTGGGGTCTAAGAGAGAGGTGAGGAGAAGCACAGCCAGGCTTGCAAGATTGTATTACTAAAGCCTCTTTTAACAGAGTTCTAGTCTTCCTGTGGAGTTGATTTTTGGGTCTGGTCTACCTCATGGGACTGATAGGTGAGAGCAAGCAAGTAAATTTGTAATTGCTAAACAATCATGCATAAAGTAGAGAGTCACCTTTGATGAATCAGTTCACTTAATCCTCAATTAATTGGACAAAATTATTTTTAAAAAACTTATACAAACTGCAGAGTGTAACATCTAGAAGGAAGACTCAGCCTTGACTTACATCTATTGAATCGATTAACTCAACTGATTAAATAGCTAAGATTTCTTCCATCACATAGCAGACTTATGTTAAATATACTTAAGCTGCAGTCTACAATACACTGATCTGGGACAGTAAAGGAAAACCACATACTTTCTCCCTGCAAATGTTTGTATCAAAGTAATTTAAAAGTGAAGGTGGGCAAAATTGGTACTACTTTGAAATCACTTAGTAGAAATACTAAGCAATCAGTACATACTTAAATCAAGGCCATTTGGAAACCACAATGAATATTTATAATTATGAAAAATACTGGAATACAAGGCAGAAGAACACTGGGATAATGAATATTACATTTGGTGTTTGGGTGAGCAAATATTGCAATAATCAGAAAAAATGGTACACTGGATGTTGTTTGGAAAACTCAGTCAAATAAATGCATTATTTGACTAGTCAACATAAAGGAAACACAACTGATAGTACCTAAAGCTGCAGTCCTAAACACACTAGAAAGTAAGCCCACTGAACACAATAGGACTTGCTTCTGAATAAAAATGAGCAAGATCATACTATGTATGAACAAGAATATAACATGATTACTGTGATAATACGCTATTATAGAAGATATTAACATGTTATCCCTTGAAAATAATCACAGGCAATGTAATTTATCAGCCATAATCCATCTTAAAAATTAAAACAGCCATGATGATCTGATGGTTAAGGTTTTGGATTAGGACTATGGCAATCCAGGGTCAGGTCAACCTCTAGCTAAAGAAGTTCACCAGGTGGCTATGGCCCAGTCTTTCCCTTTCAGCCCAACCTACCTCCCCATGTAAGTTGCCTTAAGCTTTGGAGGAAAGGTAGTTTACGGATCTGACAAATAAATAAAAATTAGCATAGCTATCCACCTGTTGGACTGTGGAGCCATCTTGGCTCTCCTCCTACCTTCCCCAAATTTGCCCAAGTTGAAGCTGCATGAACTGCAAAAGAAATGTCACACCCGTAAGTAATATTTCTTCTGCAGAATAGGGCTGTTGGTATTCTAGCTGACAAAAAAAGTATTAGCAGTCTGCTTCCAGTAGACATAGTGAATACAAGGAATTAAACACAATGAATAAAAGCAGGGAAATTGACCAGGTGCCACTCCAAAAGCACAGGCAGCATTTGCGCGTAACATGAAAACATAGAACATAAACATAACGTGGAACACCTCAGATGTTATTGAGCAACATCCGTCCTCCCAGGTGCATCTGACCTGTCAGTTCCCACCATTCTTCACCACTGGCAATACCGGTTAGCATTAAGAGGAGCTTAACATCTGCACATTGTTATATCTGCTGATTATAAACCATTTGTCAGTACCTTCTAGGTTTAAGCACTTGTCACAAGCTCAACACATCTTTCTCACCAAGACAATTTTTGCATAATCCATCTACATACAATGCAGTCTGCACAATCAGGTTCTCTCGTGCATATAACCCACTTTCTCAGCCTGCATTTATAGCAACCTAGTGAAGCTTTAACTCTTCAAGCAAAGGCACGTGGCAATAGTGTTAGGCTGTTATTTCACAGCTACAGTGTCGTAACAAGAACTGAATGTTCTTTCAAGTCTGAACAGATCAAGCAGGGCTCAGCTTTTGGCTGTCAGAGACCATGGGTACTACTTACGATCTGAAGGAAGAGGGTTAACAATGGGTGGAAATGGGAAAATCTGGGTGACAGCAGGCTGTGGCCCTTCAGCTTCTGGGGCTCCAGAGCCCCTTTTCACCATGCTTAGGACATCAGACAACTTGGAGGCTGGCATGAGACAGATGAAAGAAGGCATGGAGATAATCATAAAATAAACAAATTAAAATGAATGGGTGATGGGGAAAAAGGAGTCTTCACATCTGGAGTCTGATACATGAACTATTTATTCAGGGTCAGCACTTAAACAAGGTCACCTCACTGTTCATTTATTTACAAATAAATATATGCCTCTGTAACAACACTACTTCATAACCCACACTGGCTTCTTATAGGCTTCCAGGTCCAATTCAAGATACTGGTTATCATCTTTTTCAATGCAGCACCTGCCCTCTTGAATGATCTCCCCTTCTCCCTCAGAAATATGGCTAGCCCTGACCCCAATGGTCTTCAGAAACACAGTAAAAACTTGGCTTTTTCCTTGGGCTTTAGGGCTGGGTTGACTGGAGTTTCCCTTTTGGAGAGAGACATGAGTATGAGTGTCTGGTTGCCTGTTAATGTGTTAAACTTTTAACTAAAATTCATCATCATTATCATCATAATCTACTGTATGCTGCAATTTTCTAGTTGGGCGGCCATATCCATTCTATAAATAAATAAATAAATAAGGAAGCCTAACATAGGGAGAAGTTTTCCCTGTGTCTTATTCTGTATTAGAGTAAGGAAGATCTCTGGCTGAAATAAAGTTGACCTGTTTCACAAGATAAATTACCAATTCTGAGCACCAGGTAGAAACTTGTCTCTTCCTCCTGATTTATTAGAACATCTCCAGGCACAAACTACTTCACCGGGTACAAAATCTTGCTAGAGAAGTTCTTAAAAATAGTCCCCAATGGAGCAGCTTTTTACTTCTTTGGGAGCATTTCAATCCCGATCAATGTATTCTTTCCCTCACCTTCCCTTTCAGTTTTTGAGTTCCCATCAAGTTCGTTCTAACACAATCTGACTTTGCCAAGAGCCTCCAGAAGCTCAAGAGTACCCACAGCTTTCAGTGGGAGCTCTGGAATAAGAATTCTGCAAGATTAGGGGGGTGCTGGTGGTGGGGAACTAGAGATAAGCTCAGCAGGACTGAGCCACATCAAAGATAAAACATATAAAATCAACAGTAATCTCTTAAAGAGGAGATTAGTGGGAAGCCAGTTCCCATGTTAAAAAAATCCATAAAGGGCTCATGTTGGTTGCAGGAATCATCAGAAAGAAATCCCAGGGATGTTCCACTACTTACATGAGGGAGAAAGAGGATTGGTGACAATAGAAGGTGGCCCAGAAAAGGGGGTGGAGGTCTTTGGCTCTTCACTTTCTGGAGGCGCAGAGCCCCTTTTCACCATGCCTAATACATCACAGAGTTTGGCAGCTATGATGGTGTAGACGAGAGAAGGGAAGGGAGGGGAAAATGAGAAAACAGACAAAAAGCAAAGAGCAGAACAGAAATGGAGGGTGGGAGAATCCCTCCTCGTAGTGACAGAATGTTTAGAGGAGTAACCACTCTTGATCTCTTCTTGTGCAACTAAACCCTGAATGGCATCAGCCAGGGAAATTGCTCCTCTTGAAGCACAGGAGGGGAGGAAGGAAGGTGGAAAGCTGGAGGGATTCTGCAAGTTGGTGACACGCTGCTTTAGATGCAAGAGTTACCTGCTACTTACACTGGAAAGGAAGAGGATTAGCAACCCCCGTGGATGGGGTAGGCAAGGTAATGGAAGGCTTTGGTTCTTCAGCATCAGGGGGTCCAGAACCCCTTTTCCCCAGGCCTAATACATCAGACAGTTTAGCAGCTAGGGTGAGATGAGGAAGAAAAAGATGAAGAAACTAACAAAATATAAAAAAGCACAGGGATGGGAAAATTAAAACAGGAGCAAAAGCTAGGACAACAGATTAAAGAAAGCACTCCATTGAAGGGAAGGACATTCTTCAAGTGATGAAGAAGCAGGTGGCTTGCATCAGTACCTTCATTTGTTTGCACATTTAAGGCATTAATCAGAGGCTAAATTGTACAAAATGACCCCTGGTTAGTTAGGGGCTCTCAAGTCTTCTCATTTGGCCTGCAAATGATTGCATTTGTTCCTTTTGTGAATTGACAGCTAGACGCAGTCCTGAATTCTTTGGGAAGGCTCTTGTCCCAAGAATTACATGGGTTGCGTAAGAAACACAGAACAAAATGTGACAAGATTCCTAGCATGTGTACATAAATTAAGTTTATGTTAAACCAACACAACAACCCTTTCAGTGCTATTTCCTGAATGAGTCCTCCAGCATTCAAGAGATGCTCTCCGACAAAAAGCAAGAAAAGCTACTTCTCTAGAGCAGTTCCTACTCAGTTGTCCTCAAACATTTACTTACACTAGAGAGGAATGGGACTTGCAACAACAGAAGGTGGGAAGGGCAAAGTGACAGAAATGTTTGGTCCTTCTGCTTCAGGTAGCCCAGAGAATTCCATTTCACCAGGCCTCATACATCAGAGAGCTGGGCAGCTGGGGTGGAACAAATGGGAGCAGGGAGGACAAGAAAAGCTCTAAAATGTTGGGTTGAAAAGTATTAGAAAAAGATGCTAGAGAACAGCACGAGGACAAGAGAGCGTATAAATATGGTTGGGATCCTTTTCAGATGATCTGGCATTCCCTAGTTTGTGGAAATCCAGAACTTCAGCCTGTTGTTGTTGCTGTTGTTATGGAATTATTTCTTATTTCATCTCTACAACCACAAAGATTTTCCATTCTTGTGGGAGTGGGGAAAAAGCCCTACATATTTTGTTGCATGAATGTTTGCTTTCCTGCTAAGGTAAAAAAAAGCTAATCATGCTGCAGGCCTTTTGATTTAATATCATTTGACATTATTTTGCAGGCCTTTCATACCATCTTTTCTAATGAAAGAATGCATTCATTAGATTTCATTAAAATAATGCAAGGCCTGCTTTAATAACAAGCCACAAATGCTTTCTAATGACACTCCTTTTGGGCTACTTAGCCATCCAATACCGCAAATCCTAGCATTCATCCACTACTTACACTGGGGAGGGAGAGGGCTTGTAATAGCTGGAGATATGCAGGGTGAAGAAGTTGTTGGGTCTTCAGCAACTGGGGGACCTGATCCCTTTTTCACCAGGCCTAATACATCAGAGAGCTTGGAAGCTGAGACAGGACAAATGAGAAAGGCAGGGAGGGAGGGAAGGGGAGAAGATAAAGGAAGGAAAATGAAAAGCAACAGTGAGGTGGAAAAAATCTGAAAAGATGACTTAAAGATGCAAAGAATCCTTTTAACTGCCAATGGAACCAATGTACAATGTGTATTTTATCTACCTATTTATGGGTTTCTAAGTCAGATTCCTACTAGCATAATTGAAACAAATGACTTAAGTTATCTTACATGGGTATCAATAGGAGCTAAGTTGAAAGAGCTTAGTCTAAGTTGAAGTACTATTTATCTCTGCATTGAGGGCGTTTTTGTGATGGAATGGTTTGATAAAGGCCGCACTCGGGGAGATAAGCATTCCCTTAGCT